GTGGAAAATTTCCTGGTAGCTACAGACATATTCCAACTCCCCGTAGCTATTTAGTATATACTGCGTCGTTCGACCATCGTTCAGACGGCCGATCGGCGACCCTCATAAAGACGACCAATGGCATACCAAGTGGTCGCCGTGGTTGTCCGCTGGCAACACGTGTCTGGCAAATCTAGTACATTCCAGGACTCGGCCGGCCCCTGCCCGCACCCTTCAGCGCCGCCCCCGGCCGGCGGCCAGTTAGCGTCCCCTCTAATCCGCCGGGGCTCTTTTGTGACGTCAAAACCCACCCCGGTGGCGCCTGGGGGTAGGTCCGCGGCGGGACATCTTGAGTGGGACCGTGTCAGTGCCGGTAATGTTTTGGTGAGGCCGAGGGGAGGGCACGCCATGTCATGTCCACGAGGATATGGAGGCTCAGGACTTCATAGGTCGAGGAACACGGATCGTCGGACAATTGAGCCTGACGGCTGAGCGCCCTGCGCTATCAAAAAGGAGCGGAATTATAATGTATTCGCACGCAGGGTACGTGGCGTCTGCACGACTGAAGTGTACCAACTTGAGCACATTTTGTTCAAAGGTGAGTGGAAGTCGACCAGTGGCACCGTCGAAGGGTCACCAAAAGGGTCAAAAGGGCTGTCTAATCTTTTCCGCGGCGCTGTACAGCTCTATATAATTGGTTCCCGAGTTGTGCGCCGGTGTTAAAAAAAAAAAATGAAAGGCAATATCTTTCATGACCTCCGGTGACCTGACCTTCGACTTAGCCTATAAAACGAATGTCATATTTTCGCCCTTATTTTGGACGTTCTTTCGAATGCCGTTTACTGCTTGTCACTACGTGACCCAGGATCCGAGTTAACCCGCGCCCTGGTGTGGGTCTGAGCCACCTTCGCCCTGGTGGGGGGGGGGCCAAAATGACCCCCCCCGTCTAACTCGAAAACGAAGAGGGCTAGGAAGACGCGGAAAAAAGCAAACGAAAGCCCATAACAAGTACGTTCGAAAGTATTTCAGTCATTTTTTCGCTAAGGTCAATATTGAGGTCGCTAGAGGTCATCATAGGTCAAATTTCAGTGTTTTCGGTGTTGCCGGACATATTCCGCTGTAGCTCGGAAACTAGAAGAGCTAGAGAGCCGCGGAAAAAAGCAATCGATAGCTCTTTTCAAGCTCTTTCGCCAAGGTTCGTCAGATTTGACCTCAGCTCAACGGTTTGGCCCACAGAGGTCATGCAAGGTCAACTTGGCAAATTTCGTTGAAAATGTTTTTAACTATAGCATGCATTCACGAGAAAATAGAGAAACGATTCATGCACCATCGTGCTTGGCTCGTCGAGACGCGTCGAATGATATATAGTTTGACCTCGAAAGGTCATTTTGAAAATTTGACCTCAGGTCAAGGTCATGACCTTACCGAAATAGGTCATGCTGCATATCATTCGATCCGCATTGACGAGACAAACACGATAAACGTCGAACGGAGTCTCTATCTCTATTCAATAACAAGTAAGTGCAGAAAAACCGCTGGTGACCTCTGGTGACCAGGGAGATGACCTAGCGTGACCTCAGCGAGGTCACAAGCAAATGGTTTCACATGGGCTGTGATTTGCTGACCCAAGACACTTCAATAACGAAATATAGGAACAATCACGCCCGATTTAGCTGAAAAACAACTACTTTTCGATTCTCCCATTGACTTATAATGGGGAGCAGCGATGACCTGACCTGACCTTAGGTCACATTTATAAAAAATCCGAGATAGCCATTTTGTAGAGCTGGGTGACATCTTCAAGTACTGTAAATTTTACATCGATCGGATAAAAGCTGTGCCTTTGAGAGAGCTTTGAACTTTTTTAGAGGTGGTGTCAGTTTTGGTGACCTTGTGACCTGACCTGACCTGACCCGAACCCCCCAAAAAAGGACATGATGTAAAAATGTTGAATAAACAGCTATACAAAGTTTCAGGGCGCTAACTCAAGTGGTTTCTGAGTTATCGCTGAAAAACCACAGGGGGGGGGGCCAAAATGGCCCCCCCCCCCACCAGGGCGAAGGTTAAAAGGGCGGGGTGTTTGACCCCCCCCCCTCCCGAGCAGGGCGTGGAAATCAAGGACCCTCAGCGGGCGCGGGTTAGACATCTTGAGTTGACAACCACATAAGCCCGTTTTCCCTTGGACGACAACCACCGAAACACTTTTTCCAGCCCTGTAAGTTTAGTAGTGCGGTGGGTGAAAATCTACCGTGCTGTTATTAGCATATCTGCAGTGTTATTGGTATGGTGTTTTGAGACCATTGTAACGTGGTTATGAAGATACGTGCTGGATTTTATATTGTACCATGCACTGGATTGTTGTTTGTATGCGTGTGTGTGACACTGACTCATGACCGATATGGTTTGATCTGAATAAATAACACAAGGTAGATGATTGACGTGATTTTTTTCGATATCACTGAACATGAGGGGGTTGCAAATTTAATTTCCTTGTGGCCTTGTCTAACTTTTCCATAAGATATGCTGAAAAATTCGAAGAATCTATATGCCTATTTGTATGCGTTACGGCCAAGGCATTGATGATATTGGAAGGAAAGGAAATATGAACATTCGTATCAGGATTCAGATGGGTAAGATTGGGCGATCATACTGACGACGTTGGCATTCACTGCACCTAGTGTTCATGGTTTATGTGCGCGTCGTTTCCTTAGATACATTCAGTAATAAACAATCACTATGCTTACATCAATGTATATTCAGTTCACCATTTATTCGAATACACGACCGAAAAACGAATGGAGATGCTCAAAAAAATATAAACGAATAAGAACATACCTAGTACCTACCGTGGTTGGTTTTATCGTCTTTTTTATACATCCTTGAAGGTGTCGAGCTGGTGGTTCATCCACTGGCGCAGCCTCCCGCCAGCAAATGAAGCACCCTCTCTCCCTCTCTCTCTCTCTCTCTCTCTCTCTCTCTCTCTCTCTCTCTCTCTCTCTCTCTCTCTCTCTCCCTCTCTCCCTCTCTCTCTCTCTCTCTCTCTCTCTCTCTCTCTCTCTCTATCTCTCTACATCAAATAGAAAGTATATCCTCTCTTGAAAGCATCGCTACTCGAAAGTATCGCTATCCCCCCCGGTTTTAGAGCACCTGGCTTTTGAGGGTTGGCCGCCTGGCCGGCCCGTAAAACCGTGAAAACTGTACGGGGCGGCCAGACGCCCAACCCTCAAAAGCTGAGGCTTGAAAAACCAGGGAGCGATAGCGATACTTTCGAGTAGCGTTACTTTCAAAAGAGACTTAACATATATCCCACACACACCACAACACAAAAGGTTAGACACAACACACGCAGCACAACGCAACTGTTCCACGCACACGCATCATACCACTAAGATCAATTCGCATGCAGCGAATGTCACACACCATACCATAAAGATCCAATGTGTGATATAGCCAATGTCTAATGTCGCGCATATCGCTCAACACACAACTCTTCATTATTTGAAGCGATAGTCAATGTCTGCCTTAATAAAGGTGGCACATGTAGGTATAATTGTAGAACGCGCGCAACATCGCACATAGATAGCGATTGGTCCCCCGTTACATGATTCGTTGACTAGTATTCATTGCAAATATGACATCATGCAATCATGCGTGCAACATCGCAACACAGACGCCGTTTAACAACTAACGCAGCACATTCAATAGCAGTTGGTCCCTTAATTCCAGCTTGGTCCCTACACACATTACACGAGTCATAATCATGATTGGCAAACTCACATTGATTGTTGATATACAGATACACTGATGTCAAAATATTTACATGTTTGTCCCTCCTCCTTGATAGTTGACACTCATTAGCTCGAACTCGGTATGGATTGTAGGTGCGATAGCTATTATTCTCCCTTAACGATTAGATTTAACACTAAAGCGCAAAAGCGCTTTATATCTGCAGTTCTGTAGGGTTCTGTAGGAGAGTGTTCTCGTCTGCATGTTTTTAGCAAAATCTAGTGGGGTACACAAGTTGAGATCTAGAAAACCTCCAAGAGAGAAAAATCAGGAAAATGATTTAGCTTCCCAGTTCAACATCCTTCGCTGTGCTCCAGCCTCAAAGTCCTCGTAACTGGTAAGATGAAAATTTAAAAACAAAAAATGTCACACCATTTGAATGATAAGCAATATAACCCTATTACTTGCGGGCTAATGAAAGGTTCGATTCTGGGCGGGGGGGAGGCTTTTCAGGCCCCCTTCAGATCTCAAAAACTACACATCGGAGCGTCAAACGTCAAACGGCGTTTGATAGATCATTTAAAGATCTACAACTTTTACAAAAAACATTTTCGAGTCAGGTCAATATTGGGGTCACCAGAGGTCATCAACGATAAAATGTTTTGGAATTAGTTACTTATATAACTTTTGAACTAAGAAACGTAGAGACATAAAGCTAATACATTTGTTGTTGCTCTCGTTGAGGCGATGCGAAATAAGTATACGATGTCGATGACCTTCACAGGTCAATTTGAAATTTGACCTGAGGTCAAGGTCAGGTCATTCACCAATGGGGTTGTGGGGTATGGTCATGCTGCATACCAAACGACGCGCCTTGACCAGGCGAGTACTTCGGTACCACTTACAAGTCTGGAGCACCATCATGTCGTGATTTATTTTAAAAAAAACGATTTATGACGTCACATGACCTCAGATGACCTTGCCCGGTGCCCCTGTCATTAAACGGCACCAGGATCATCACCGATGAGATTATCTTCCATAATACTGAAAGAAGTGGGTGGGTTTGACCCGTTTACACGAAGCAGGAGGCATTTCAATAGTTCCCCATAGGCTTGCAATGTAAAGGTCACGAGTCTGGCCTGACCTCAGGTCACAGATATACAAATTCTGAGATATACAAATTGCACATACGGGTACCGTTACTAAAACCTGAAGAGAAGAAAGTGATCAGTCAAAACCTCTAGCTCTGGCGTGATTGCAAACTTTTCTGAGGTGTGGTCAACAAACCTCCTCTGGTGACCTGACCTGACCTGACCCGGCAACTTTGTTTTGTCAAAATGTGCGCAATGAATGTCTAGGAAAAGTCACCGAATATGAGCTTTCAGTCTTGCGGCGTTTGGCAATGCCACAAGAAAAACGTGAAGGGGGACTTGAAGTCCCCCCGCCCGGAATAGGGCTAAGCAAGCATTTTCTCGCGCACTTGAATCTGTCCATGGGGAAAGACCATATCGATCTAAGGGTGGCCTAAATGGATCATCATGCCTCTAGGGGATCAGTTGGTAGTGTTCATAAGCCTGTGATTGGTGTTTGTGCTGTTCCTCTATGTGTGATTGGTCGCTGTCTCGATCCCTCCGTTGTGATTGGCCGCTGTCTCCGTTCCCGCGCTGTGATTGGCCGCTGTCTCCGTTCCCGCGCTGTGATTGGCCGCTGTCTCCGTTCCTGCGCTGTGATTGGCTAAGGGCTCCGGGGTGACAGCTGGTGGCGGGGATGGGGTACGAGATGCCTCGGCAGGCAGCGCGGCAGATAACAGCTGTGTGATGGCTTCGACATCTGCATCCTCGTCGTTTTCTTGAATCTTTCTGCGGAATAACGAGATAATTATGTTATGAGTCTCTTATGGGTCATGACCTTCCGTTCTAGTGAGACCTTTCGGGACTACATGATATCAGGAATTAGGGGGATACCGGGATATTTTGGTCAGGGGGTATGACTTGCCACTAAGGCTGGGCCCATAACGAAGAACAAGCGGCACTCAGACTCTCGTTAGGATTTGACGAGGACAGGTGCGAAGATAGATCAGAGGAATCGGAACGAGATCAATGATAGCTTCCTGACCTAGTTGGAAAAGAAGGCCCAAACACCTTAAGACCCCAATATCGCTACCCCTACTTCATCAGTCAGCAGTCGAGCCTAGCTGGCAGATCAAACGCGGCACTACTTAGCGACACCCCCTGCATCCCTGAGGCCCTCCCTAACCACAGCTTCCTACACCACTCACTTGAGGGCGTTGGTGACGATACAAAGATCGCCACGGAGCTCGGACACTAGAGCTGCCACTTTTTGCGTGCTGGAGAGCACGTCCACGGTATGAGTGTACGGATTGTACCGGACTCCGAACGGCCGAACGATGGTAGCTGCGTAGGCCCTGCCAAACAGCACAAACATATCACCGAAATTCGGTAGGAGTGGATCAGCCGCTGCTAGCGGACCAGTCGGTGGTCGAATCATCCAAGATCTTCTTCCTCTATCCTTCTCATTCCCTCGATCTCTCTCATAATGGTCTCATAATGGTCTCATAATGGTCTCATAATGGCCCAGGAATAATGGTCTCATAGAATAGACCAAAAGTTCCGGGCCCAGCGAAACAAAACCGATAAATTTAAATCTCTTGGCACTTATGATCCACGTTCAAAATTTCCGCATGAAGACCCACCTCATCTTTTCCTTGGCCTCTTCGAACGTGTCCGTGTAGTAGTAGACGTTCTGGAAGGCGGTGATGATGCACTCCTCGTTGCTAGTGACGTCAGGGTCGAACCTGCCGCACGAACCAGTGATGAGACCATACAGAGAACATGTACTGAAAATATACTGCGAACAAACTGCGCTACTGTTATAGGTTTGGTTCTCGACGAGAACATACTGAAATGCATGATTTTCAAACCTAATATTTCAGCTAAATTATGTTGTGAAAGATTGTGACCTTTTGAGAATCTGCGTTGTTATCATGTAAGGATCTACTGTGATCCCATCTGAGTTTTCTGTGGTGTCACCTGATCCGAAGTCAAGACCTGCAACGTAATTATAGTCTGATAACTAATTGTTCTATTGTTATCGGAAGACGTCCTGTTGTCTCATCTGAGAACCTTCTGTATTCTAAACCGAGAACCATGGCTGGTCTCATCTGAGAACCATGGCTGGTCTCATCTGAGAACCTACAGTGTTCTCACCTGCGGACCGTGGCGGCCGGCGTCAGCGAGTGTTTCAGCTCGGCGATCGATGACAGAAGGCCAGCACCGTACACACGCAGCTGACCGTTCTCGCGACAGAGACCGAACTCCACCGTGAAGAAGTAGCACTGAGAACAGCACAAAAGGTCCACCGTTCCGTGCTTCTATCCTCAGGACACTGAAATCCTTCTCCTCCATGCCGCAGCCCCACTCTCCGGGCTGGACAGGCAACTTTATCTCATGCGGGCTGCTCCCTTGGAGCGGCACCGCCGCTCCCGAGGGAGCGCACCCCGTAGCCGGGTGCAGTGAGTGCCTTGGGGCTGGGTGGCCTGTCCTCTGGACGGGCTCCGCCCCGGCGACTCACTAGGGTGCCTGCCCAGACCAATGTCTCCCCCTATATCCTATCATCCTCCCGGCTCTGAAATGGTCTCATTGGACCGAAAGGGCCTAACCCAACAAAACAAAAACAAAACAAAAAGCACAAAGGAGGGGAAACAGCACAGCGCTGCTAAATTACTATTAGCCCCGGATTTGCTTGTGAAAAGCAGCTCATCGAGTAGCTCAAAGAGTATGTAGATTGTGCCTGAATGGTCTTAGGTAATGTGGTAAGAGGCAGATACAGCCTTACATATATTTTAGGGGAATATAAAAATATGTTTTCTTTGATTGCTCTTATTGGTCTTTCATTGTTTAAAATTGTTTTATTGCTTTTAATGATTAGCCTATCTAATTGTTTTTTAGGTGTTTTGGATGTTAATTCAATTGTTTTGGTTTTGAGTGTGAAATTTTACGTTGGAGTTGAAGTTGAAGTTGGTGTTGGAGCTTGAGTTGGAGTTGAAACTTATATCTACTTATATATAGAAACTTATATCGAATATCTGCGTCCAGATATTCGTCCGAGGACCAGCGGTCGTGTGACCTCATACCGTGGCCAATTTGGAGATCTCCTCCTCAGAGGCCCCCAGAGAGGCGAGGCCCAGCTCCTGCGAGAACTGCGCGAAACTGGCGTTGGCCAGCAGCGGCATGTGGCCCAGCAGTTCGTGACAGCAGTCCCTGGAGCATAACATAAAGAGAGAACGTGTTAAACAGTGCGCAAATCGTATCCCTTTCGATCTTCTCAGACATTGCAGGATAAACTACATATAGCATACTGGGTTGTTGGAATACTATCTTCCTATAGCATTGCTTTGGTGTGTTGTACCTCTTTATTCCTAACTAATCTTGAGTCTGAAAGTCCCTTTTGTTTGTTATACGTTGAAGTATCGGTTCTTGTATCACTCTCCCTCTTATTTTCCCTGTCTGTCTGTCTGTCTGTCTCTGTCTCTGTCTCTGTCTCTCTCCCTCTCTCTCCCCCTCCCTCTCTCTCTCTCCTCTCTCTCTCTCTCTCTCTCTCTCTCTCTCTCTCTCTCTCTCTCTCTCTCTCTCTCTCTCTCTCTCTCTCTCTCTCTCTCTCTCGCCTTTACTCACGGTTCGGGTGTATACAGTGGGTCCGAGCTGTGCCGAATATACTGGGTACAGTGGAACACCCTGAATGCCAGGCCGGCCAGGAAATCCCGTGGTGATAGGTAGCCCGCCACAGGTCGTAGCTGAAAGCCGGTTCTCTCTGTCGAAATAAAATGAGAGCACACCAGTGGTTTATCGTTTTGGCTGGCAATGGACATGGAAGTCACGGGTATACCTATCAGTCGTGGTTTTCTGAGGTACTAAAACGTCCAATGTTTGGCAAGATAATGAACAATTTAACAATCAAAGAAGTGCTAGGATTGTCTACAGAGTATCACTCGTCAGCGATGTGCCTAAGAACCGTGCTAGAAAAGAAGTTGATATACCCTCTCGGGCCTTTGCTTCCTTCGCCTCGATACGCTACAATCGGGTCACTTGCTCACTATCACTCATCAGTCATCACAATACCTATGTGGCACAGCCAGCATGTATGGTGGGCCTATTTATGCCTTCGTTGAACTATTGCATTGCATAGATGGCAATTGCTGTGTGGTAGGTGGCTGGCTGTGTTGTGCCAGTGTCACACCGTCCAGTAACACCGTCATGCACCGTCATTGACACAGTCCACGACTTACGTCGGAGGTAAGCGTCGACGTCCACCAGTTGGGGGATGTGGTTCTGACGATAGCCGCAATATTTCCTCAGCTCACGCCAGTTCTCCAGGTACTCTTTGCAGGCGTGTGTCTCGTACAGCTCACTCAGCTGGCTAAAGATCACACCCCTGTGGGTCGGATCAATATATTGTCACTGTGTTGTTGAGTAATACAGTCACTGCTATTGTAAAACGCAATAGTTTGCTAACGAGGCACTTCTTCCAGCATATTTCGTCTTTTATCTTAAAGACAACGCTTTCCTTGGACTTTCCAAACATCTCATAAGCTCAATTCGGTTGGTCTCGGTCTTGAAGTTCAGCACTAAGCAGACTGAATGGTCTGGCTTGCATTCAGAATGGCCAAATGGTAGGACGAAGAGCAGCAATTTAATCAACACAAACTCTACACAAAGATAACAATGTTAATCACAATTAGGGGATGGCTGCATGATTTGATTGCATGGTATAGTGCATAGGTGTAGCAACGTATCTCTTTGGTGAAGGATACCTTTCACCAAAGTTTTAGATTGGTGAAGGATCCTTCACCAATCTTGAGCAATGCAGGTGAGGGTCTTCACCAATGCTAGAAGTTAGAACGACTGGGTTCGACGGTCGATCTAATGTTAAAAAAAGAAAAGCAATGCCGAATGGGATGAACAAAAAGGCTAAAACGGCAACAGGTACCCAATTACCCCATCCTTTCAGTTATGAAGTGTTATGCCCACCTTCTTCACAATTCACGCCATTTAACCCGGCAGTTGCTGGGGTATTTCGCCACCCACCGTTTGCTGGGGGGGGGGGGCGTTAAACGCCCCCAGCCGATAACTCGAGAACCAATAGGCGCAGCGAAACGCACGAGGCGGCAAACGAAAGAGCGCGACGAGACGCTTCAGATGAGTACTTAAAAGTTGAATTTTGAGGTCACAGGTCGGGTCAAGGTCAGGTCAAACACCTGAAAACGGGCTTTCAGTAGCATGGACTTCAGGACTTCGCAATGGGCGCCTCTCGCCATAAACTCTGTCAAAACGGTGCACAATCCATCTTATAATGCCTACAGGAGTGTCAGCTCCATGTAGGGGTCAGTCAAGCATAGGTCAGGGTCAAGGTCAGGTCAACCGGGTAGGCACATATCCCCGAAAATCAAAACTGATATTCGCAGCCTGTGACACATGTTTTATAGGTAATTTGGGGCGTAGAACACGATGGTGACATTCATTTTATCATATGTGTACGTGTTTGGCTCAAAAAGTTCAATCTAAGAAATTCATGTATCATGGTCGTGAAGTAGTCACGAAAAATTGCCAAGATTCAGTTCAAGATTATGGAAAATGCGGAACAATAATCAATAATCGAAGATAGCCATTTGATTGATCATGGTATTGGCAGTCTAATAGCGTTTACAGCATGTCTGTATGTCTATTCTGTGATTTTATATGATTTTTTGAACATATGCCGTTTTTGGTCGAAAACTCAGAAATCATGACGTCACTAAAACCTCGATATCTCAAAAACTTTCCGACTGATTTTTTTGAAACTTTGTCACAATAAACTTCAATCAATTCCCTACAGGTACCCAAAATTTGGCGCGCCTGCGGCGCGCCGTTTTTATGCTATGGCCCGGCGAAAAAAGTGGGGGCGTTTAACGCCCCCCCCCCCCAGCAACTCGCGGGTTAATAAACCAGTATAACGCCTTTTGGGGCGACTAACGGAGCGGGCGAGAGGGTGAGCTTTGCACGTGCGAAATTTCGACGGGGTACCTCCAGCTGACTTGTGCACGGCACCCTACTAACCGGTCTCTAGCGATGTGCCAAATTTGAGCACAATCGGCCCAGTCGTTCTCGAGATCTGGAAGCGGCACCCTGCACGTGCGCACGTGCAAAATGGGTCCGAAATGACTTTTGCACGGCACCCTACTAACCGGTCCCTAACTGTGTACCAAATTTGAGCGCCATCGGTCCAGCCATTCTCGAGATCTGGAATCGACCCCTGCACGTGCGCACGCGCAGCAGCACCCCAACTCTGGCACATGGATATGCATTGCCTAGTGGGTGCCTACCTACATGCCAACTTTCAGCGCAATCGGCCAAGTAGTTACCGAGATATTGCAACAATCACAAAAGTGACACCTCTTCGTTTTGCACGTGGCACGTGCATAAGGGGTCACCCACATGCATCGGGAATAGTCCAATACTTGGTAGAAGGAATGAAGCTACCCTACAAAAATTACTGCGTGTAAATCGGTCAAGTGGTTGCTGAGATATAAGCGTCGCAGAATCGTGACCACGGCCGGCCGGCCGGCCAGTCGGACGGCCGCTCATACTCAGAAATTTCCGTTAATCTAAGGAAAGACTACGCTCGCTTCGCTCGCTCCGTAATGATAGGTAAGGCCGAAAACTATTGAAGTTGGTAAAAGTGTAAATGTGTCTCAGTAAATGCGTGAATATCAAAATACATTGGCTTGTTTTTACTCGTGGGAAAGTTGTAAGGGTTGTAAGACTTTGGTCACGAAAAAAGAGCAGTGGAGCATACCTTCAGGTTCCAAAGGTATGCTTGGATAGTGGATACCTTTGGTAGGTATCCAAAGGTATGCTTGGATACCTAAAAATTCAATTTTAGGCATGTACTGAAAAGTTGGCGTTAATTAGATGATAATGGCGTGAGACATTTGCGAGAAAAAAAAACAGGAGTTGGCGAAATTCCCCCCCCCCCCTCCTCCACTGCGGTAAGGTCCTGCGCCTTCTCCGAAGGTTCAGGTGACATCCTTCACCAATATTTTTGGCGCTCCTACACCCATGGTATAGTGTCACATTTCGGTCTGATTTCTTTCGTCCGCGTCCCGTAGAGTTTCACCCCTTTGGAGCGTGCCTAAATTGAGCAAATTATTTCCGCTGATTTAACAACGGTATATCAGTCCTCACCCCTACGTCTCCTAACTACGTTACGCTGAGACACCCGTGATAACCAAGTCATTGTCACGCCTCAATTCATCCCAGGATAATCAACTTTCAGGTATTTCCAGAATTGTGTTATGCACCACGATGAAATTTAAAAACATCTGCGATCGTGAATTGCTATTGTCTTACCATGTTTTTGTCTCCTCTTCTGTATATTCCACCCTTGGGATCGGCTGATTACTGCAAACAGAGGGATTCAGTATTCACATCTACAGAGATATAGTTAGTCGGTACAGCGGATACAGAAGTTGTTGAGCAGTGTAAAAGAAAGAGATGACGTTCTCAAAGCAACATTTTTTTTAATTGAACGCTATGCATAAAAAGAAAAACAACGATTACGAGATGTAATAGCAACGATTTAGAAATGGAATACGTCATACCGTATCATACTTCGACGAAACGACCGAGCTTTTTATCAATGCAAAATATGAAAACCTGAAAGAATTAAAAATAAACTAAGCCGTCTCACTCCCGTCAAATGTTGAACTGTTATGACTATCCTAAAATGACCCTCTTACAATCGATACTTCATCGCAATGTCGTAGAAGTGTTTTCTTCGCTTTCTGTACTCGGTGTCCTTGAATCCCTGAAATGCGTAGAAGACACCTGTCGATAACAATATCAGGAATCGATCATTCCACAGATAAATGGGGAGTGATCGAAATTGGTATTTTAGATCAGCAGCGTAATGTGAATTTTAATTCATTGGTTGGAACAACTCAAAATAATGAAAAAAAGGCTCATAATTTAATCAAAAGTAACTTGTCAGCCTGAACCAGGCTTGTTCATGTCAATTCTGACCTCTGAATAGCCCGCGGTCATTTTCTGTGACCGGAGAAGGTGTCCTTACCGGGTGATCAGCGTCCAGTTCGGAGCCATACATCAGCACCCGCTGAGACTTGTCCAGGTCAGACAGCTTTCTCGGGAACCACGGGATGTCACCAAAATCTGTTGGTAACGATCAAAAGTGCCGGGAATTACCGCGGAATGGCACAAACGTGTGCTGGCAACGTAGGAAAAGGCGCCGTGAATAATCACAGAATGTCATTAAAATCAATCAGCGGTAAAACGGTATTTTAAAAGCACGTTCAAAGATACTGTTGTAGATTAGAACAGGGTATATATTGAATTAGGGGTACGAATGTCAGAAAATCGATTTTTATGTGTCACCAATAAAAAAGCATAACTACTGAGGAATCATTCAATGCTATGGAAATATTTGAAGGGTTGAAAACTTTTTTAGCACGAAGAATAAATAATAACATTTTGCTCTTAACCAAAGGAAGAATTGCTTTAGGTATGAGCAAATCGTTATTATTCATCCTTTCTTTTGTGTTACCGAGTCCGGAGACATAAGCTTGAATACCGAGACGTTTCCGCCCGATAACAATACGTATTTTTTCATCCATGACCATACTTACCGAAACTGCTTTGGATGCTCATGCTTCTCTTCGCCAAACCTTCTCTTGAAAAGCCGGGCCTGAAAGATATGTACAAACGTACAACATTAATACAAAACGGCAAACACATAAATACCAGTAAAACGCCTTTTGGGCGAAGAACGAGCGAGCGAGATAGTGAGCCCTACACGTGCAGAAGGGCGAGAGGGTACTTTCAACGGGCTTGTGCAAAGCACCATTCTAACCGGTCGCTAGCGGTGTACCAAATTTGAACGCAATCGGCCCAGCCGTTCCTGAGATCTGGAAGCGGCATTCTGCACGTGCGCACGTGCAAACGGGGTCCAAAATGACTTTTGCACGGCACCCTACTAACCGGTCCCCAACCGTGTACCAAATTTGAGCGCAATCGGCCCAGCCGTTCTCGAGATCTGGAAACGCCCCCTGCACGTGCGCACGTGCAGTAGCACCCTAACCGCAACACATGGGAATGCATTGCCTGGTGGGTGCCTACCTGTATGCCAAGTTTCAGCGAAATCGCCCCAGTAATTACCGAGTTACTGAAATGGGAACAAATTTGGCACCTCTTATTGTTGTATTTTGCACGTGCAGTGGGGGTCACTCACATAGATGAAGAGTATCCGACCTTTGCACAGTGGGGATTTTTCCGATCTAGCACGTATTTATTCGTAGAGGGCAAACCATAGGTAGAATTGTAGCCAGATTGTGCACAGATGTTGGCTGGTGTGTCCTGGTGAGAATTTTACCTGTAAATGTGCATAATCAACATAGTATAGGGGGTTCAATTGGACCCCCCGCTCAGCCGTTTGGCCCCTGATCAAGCTAGAGCTTCGCGGAAAAGTCAAGCGTGCTGCCTATGACGAAATTAGGCCGAATATATCCAATTTCAAAGTCCAAGGTCATAAGCTGACTTTCCAAGTCAGTTTAATGACCCAACTAAAGTTGGGAAATCGAGACCTCTTGAAACTTCGCAAAGTTAGGGTGTTACGGGGTATTTTGGGGTGCTGATCACGAATTTCATGTTAGTTTTGATCACAGACGATGTCTTTATGCATTTAGGCCAGGTCGGGTCAGGTCAGGTTAGATCAATTAGTAGGCGTCCTGCCGGCCATCCATAGAAGTGTCACCTACTACTGATAGCTTCGTAACATGGAACGAAGGCACTAGAACTACTTCGTAAATATTCAAATGGCTGCTAAAATCGAAATCAGCACCAAAAACTACCCTGGAAACAAGTAAAACTCGAAAAAGGGAACTAAGGTCATCAAAAGGTCAATGACCTTGACTTGACCTTCACGTGACCTTGACACCCACCATTATGCATGGCACCAACATCATTTCACATATTTGAACGTTTAAAACCACAAAAAGACTGGAAACCGCGGATAATGTGAGCTGGCATACGCCGAATCGCGATTCCGGCCAAACATGGTCTCGAGAAATATGCCACAGGTCAAAGGTCAGTTGGGTCAGAGTCATGAAATTTTTAGGATAGATGTAAAATTGATGATCTCGAGGGTACCGAAAGTTTCGGCGCGATCGGCCGCTTTTTGCGCGAGTAATTTGCGGAAAACCATGGGGTTTTATCCGACCCCTTCCCCCTCCCCCTCCCCACAAGTGCGATGGTTAATAAGGTTACGGTATGTATAATTTACGCTGGTCATCCTATTCCTAATGAACGTGTCTCAGAAAATATGCATCATATAAATCACGAAGTAGAATTATTCGCCTATGTCCGGAAAATACCTATATCGTGCTGTTTGCTCTAGCGCTCCTCGAGTGGGGTGTTAAGATACTCTAATGTGAATATTCCGTGTTCAGGCAAGTTTCGGCAGCCAAACTAGGCGCTGTCTTGTGCAGAAGAAAGTGGCGAATGCGAAAGGATATATTTCGGAGTGGAAAAGTGGGGAGAACATTTTTGATTTCCTACATTTATTTAGAACTAGAGGTACAGGTTTACGCGATAACTGTATGTTTTGAGTTATGTTATGTTACGGGTGCATTAGTTTGGGTGATTGACTTGTATTCTTAGATGTATTATTTGGATAGATTTGGGTAGCTGTTTTTAATTAAACTGTAAGGGTTGGTGATAGGTGCGGTGCGGTGCGGGGTGTTCAAGTGTTTTGTATGTTAGGCCCTTTTTGAACTTAACCCTACCCCTACCCTACCCTACCCTACCCTACCCTACACTACCCTACCCTACCCTACCTATACCCTACCCTACCCTACTCTACTCTACCCTACCCTACCATACCCTACCCTACCCTACCCCTACACTACCCTACCCTACCCTAACCTACCCTACACTACCCTACCCTACCCTACTCTACCCCTACACTACCCTACCATACCCTACCCGTCCCTACCCTACCCCTACCCTACCCTACCCTACCCTAACCTACCCTACACTACCCTACCCTACCCCTACCCCTACACTACCCTACCCTACCCTACCCTACCCTACCCTACCCTACAATCCCCTACCCTACCCTACCCTACCCTACCCTACAATCCCCTACCCTACCCTACCCTACCCTACCCTACCCCTACACTACCCTACCCTACCCCTACACTACCCTACCCTACCCTACCCCTACCCTACCCTACTCTACCCTACCCTACGCTACCCTACAATCCCCTACCCTACCCTATCCTACCCTACTCTACCCTACAATCCCCTACCCTACCCTACCCTACCCTACCCTACCCTACCCTACCCTACCCTACAATCCCCTACCCTACCCTACCCTACCCTACCCTACCTTACCCCTACCCTACCCTACCCTACCCTACCCTACCCTACAACTACCCTACCTACCCTACCCTACCCTAAACTACACTACCACCGACAGTCCAAGTTTCAGCTAAATCATCCCAGAAACGGCTGAGATATTGCAAAAGCAAATTAATTGTATTTACTGGCGAATCCCCTTGGCGAGCGGTGCCCTGTGTCGGCCTTCGTTGTCAAAGGTCAACGACCTGCCGGCTCTGATGCTTTCACTCAGTTTTTTAAGCGAACAACTGAGCCTAAAGCACGTGCCCTCTGCTCGGCGCCGGTCGCGATTCTAATGCTAACCCTATGGCGCACATGAGCACGCGCCACGGGTGCACCCCTGGCCGCATCGTGCCCAAAATTTAATACGACCTGTTGAATTACGTGACCCACGAGTCGTGAAAATTTCACCCTCCTGCGTCAATCGACGGCGCCGCAATAAGCGTTTTTGGGAGTAACACCGACTGCGTAACCCCGACGGCGGCGGCGTGGGCGGACTTTTTAAGATTTACTAGAGGTACAGGTTTACGCGATAACTGTATGTTTTGATACGTATGATTAACGGATGCATTAGTTTGGGTGTAGAAACTTGCATTTTTATTGGTATTACTTCTGTAGAACTGGGTAACTGCTTTTAATTGAACTGTAAAGTATGATGGTGATGCATGCGAGTTCTTCGAGCCCTTTGTAAGTTAAGATGTTACTGAACGCAACCCTACCCTACCCTACCCTACCCTACCCTACCCTACTCTACCCCTACCCTACCCTACCCTACCCTACTCTACCCCTACCCTACCCCACCCTACACTACCCTACACTACCCTACCCTACCCCTACACTACCCTACCCTACCCTACCCCTACCCTACACTACCCTACCCTACCCTACCCTGCCCTACCCTACCCTACCCTACCCCTACCCTACCCTACCCCTACCTTACCCCTACACTGTACCCTACCCTACCCTGCCCTACCCTACACTACCCCTACTCCTACCCTACCCTACCCTACCCCTACTCCTACACTACCCTACCCCTACCCTACCCTACCCTACCCTTACACTACCCTACCCTACCCTACCCTACCCTACCCTACCCCTAACCCTAACCCTACACTACCCTACCCTACCCTACCCTACCCTACCCTACCTACCCCTACCCTACCCTACCCTTCCCTATCCTACCCTACCCTACCCTACCCTACCCTACCCTACCCTACCCCTAACCATACACTACCCTACCTACCCTACCCTACCCTACCCCTAACCCTACACTACCCTACCCTACCCTACCCTACCCTACACTACCACCGACAGTCCAAGTTTCAGTTAAATCGGCCGAGAAACGGCTGAGATATTGCGAAAACTAATTAATTGTATTTATTGGCGAATCCTCTTGGCGAGCGGTGCCTTGTGTCAGCCTTCGTTGGCAAAGGTCAATGACCTGCCGGCTCTATTGCTTTCCACTCAGTTTTTTAAGCGAACAACTGAACCTAAAGCACGTGCCTTCTGCTCGGCGCCGGTCGCGGCCCCACCACGTGCACACCGCTGAACCCACCCTCTCGAAAATTTAATACGACAAATGAGTGCACGCGTCCGACTTGCAGCGAAAAATTTACCCCCGTAGCCCTTACCGTTCCCGAGCAATAGTCTGTTGCCGATTCTAGTGTTAACCCTATGGCACACCACGTGAGCACGCGCCACGGGCGCACCCCTGGCCGCATCGTGCCCAAAATTTAATACGACCTGTTGAATGACGCGATCCACGAGCCGTGAAAATTTCACCCCCCTGCGTCAATCGACGGCGCCGCTATAAGCGTTTTTGGGCGTTACCCCGACGGCGGACTTTTTAAGATTTATAATAGTAGATAATAGTAGATACCATTCCTTCAATATGGTGTCTGTAAGGGTTTTTTTTGTAAAGGGCATTTTTGTGACCTTAGTAAGGTTGTGGCATACTTTCTGTTTGCCATTCCATTCCTAATAAAGGTGCCTTTCAGACGATATGCAACTTTAAGACCTCGCAAGATTAAAACCAACAGGACAGGACAATGAAATTGAGCTATACTTTCGGGCCTTGTTGAGCCCATTGAGTAATCACGCATGAGTGTGAACTTTGGGCGCATTTTTCCTAGTTTTGCTGTGGACATACAGATAAAACAATGCCATAGATGAAAAATTCAGACATTTCTTAGCCCCACTGACACAAAAAATAAACAAAAATCCAAAAAATATTTTTTGAATTAATAGGCGCTAGATCGGAAAAATCCCCACTGTGCTTTGGTAGAAGGG